GAATCTACGTGGATCACAAGGGTCGTGCAGTGTGAGATGCAGATAGAGCACATTAATACCGCTTTAATTCTCAGATCAATCAACAATATATTAGAAACATGTTCAAGCTTTTTCAATGAGATTTAGTTTCCCTTTGAATCTGGAAAAGCAATAGGACCTGCATCCTTCTAAGGACAATAGACAGAAAATTCTCAAACTTTCTTTTGCTAGTGAGAGCCACAGCAAATATGAGCTTGGACAACATTTAAAGATATTTAATCAAAGGTTCCTAAATTGACTTCTATCCAGGTAAAAACTAGTGTCTTCAGATTATTTTCAACTATTTGAAACAAACAGAGAACACTTTATAGCTCTCTAAAAGATAAAGTATCTTTGATGCTGGCTGGAATCAAATTGTTTAGTTTGATAGCATCCTTTACCTATGATGACAGGAGGAATTAAAACAAATATAAATTAACCATTTCTTCAACGCAGTACACAAAATCTTACAAAACATATGTGTCCTAGGATTAGGCAATAAAAGAGATGGTTTCTTGTGTAAAAATTTCTGCTGTGGGCTCTGGCACTCTAATTGTATAGATGAAAAAATTTTAGACTGCATTGTGATAAGACCCTCTGCTGAAGTGCGTTTGTTTCTGTAGCTGGATACACGACTGAATAGTGCTGGAGGCTGGCTCCATGGTATGTAGCCTGAGCAGTTCCTGTGCTTAGATGCCTTGCCATCTCTGCCTTGAAATTCTTAATAATTCTGAGCAAGGACCCTGCTGTTTCATTTTGTACTGGGCTTCGCCGATTATGTAACCAGTCCCCCAGCGATGCTTATGCTGTTTTCCAGTAACTCACTATTTACTCCGTGAGGCTGACATTGACCCAGGGAGACTTCTTGGGTCTGTCTCACCCTCATTCCAGATGTGCCTCCCACGGGTGGATGTAGGGCTTCCCAGGGGGCTACAGAGAGACTGCTAGAAGGCTGAGGCCTCCTCTTCTCCATCTGTCATTCGACCTCTGCCAGGTACAGAGCAGGTGCTGAAGGCAAAGGTGAGCGGCCACCTGTTGACTGACTTCGTTGACTAAGCGGCTGAACTTTGAACGGTTTTAGTCTTGCGGTGAAAACTGATGACACGGTTTGGTAGAGGTGAAAGGTAAATATTCAAGGAAAAAAGTCTTGGAAAGAATAAGTGGAACTGGATTGATTGGGAAGGTGAAGGAAGTTGGATTAAAAGACAGGTTGCAGTCTCTGCCAGAAATAAGGAGAGGGCGGGGTAAGCGCGTGGATGGTTAAAAGCGGTTTGGTGTCTCCCAACAAGTGACATTCCGAGGTCAATCAACTCTTCTCATATTCAGTTAAATACACTTTGGATTCATCTTGCAAATTGTAGCTCAGGAAGTGAAAATTGTCTGTGTATTCAGAAAGAATCAAGAGATTATTGATTCTTCTTTTACTTTCCCCAGAGTTCCTTGACCTATTGTTTTGCATTAAGAAGCAAAGTAATAAAAAATAAAAAAAAGCTGTATGAAAAAGTGAATGTCTTATTGTTTCCTCTGCCTCTGGGCAGAAGAGAAAGGGTTCACATTCTGACTCCCAGTTACCCTAGCTTAGCTAAGCACATTCTATTCTTTACACCATGACAGCTTCCTACACTTATATTTGTTTAAAAACAAGAAAAACATATTTCTAACATTGATTTCTGTAAACTCAACTAAAATAGCAAAAAAACCTAATATTCCTTTCTCCAGAGTCTTTTATATTGTGTTTGCTAAAGTCTCACATTGCTTGGGAGTATCTGCTCTTGACAATATGTGTAACCCCTCAGGACCTCAGAATGGCTACCTCTTATTGGCTATCTCTTATTGGTCTGTCTCCCTTTCCCTGAATAGTAAGATGGAGCTGTGTCCATCTCTGAAAAGGCTCCCTATTGAATAGTTTAATCTTACTCTCTCTATTGTTGTTAGAGCACACTTAAGTGACTACAATTGTGCACAGATGTCCAGGTGTGGCTTGAATTTCCCTTTATATTCCAGCAAGATGATTTTTTCTAGCATATTCATTACATCTATATGTTTTCTGGATTATGTATGGTGCTGTGATAATGCTTGCTTCACTGACTATTAAATTTGTGAGAGCAAGTGATTTTATGCTTCAGATCATTATTTATGGAAAATGTAACTTTTGGAGAATGATGATAATGGTGAAATAGAGGTGAATAATAGCACTGACATTCACAAGCAAAATGAGGCAAGAGTGAAAATAAGCATTTGAGGGAAAGATGGTCCTTGACAGTAAATGGAGAGAGTATCAGGAAGCGTTACTAGTTAGGAACACTAGTTAGAGACAGCGGTGAGGTCATGGGCTCCGATTTCGTGTGCTTGTAGGGCCAGGTGAAAAATTGCTGGATTTGGTAAGATGCACAAAAGAATTGCATGGACTATCTCTAATGGGAAGGAAGACAATAAAACAGTAGGCTCCATCAATCTGGAAGAACATGGACATTTTCCCCTCAATTTCCACTGAAATAAAAATCACAAGAACACATTCCTTACCACCCAAGTATGTTCCTCGTGACCAAGACATTGGACAAAGTAAACTGCTCAGTCTAATGATGGTATTCTACTAAAGGATGGATGATGAAATTGTAACTTTACTGTTTCCACCTTTGTACAACTCACATCTGAATAACTGTGTTTTTCAGAATTCTGCTGCCATCATTGTAGATGTCATAGAAAGCTCCACCTAGGATGCTTGGCTTCGGTCCTGTGGCCTATACTATCAGAATGCCATGAGTTTAGCCATCAATGAATGGAGGAATGAGAGAAAGGAGACTGGAAGGGTTAAACTAGTTTGAATTTTATTTTACAAGCCAACATTAAAAGCAGCAATATCTAAGCCAGGCGCCTTCAATTACCAGGAGCTGTAAAATTACAAAAAACAAAAACAAAAAAACCCGAAAAAACCCCCAAAACACACAACAGCCAGACTTCTTAGTTCAGTTTTTAAATCTGTCTACGACTAACCAAACAGAAGAGGCAAGATATTTCTACTAATTTTAGAAAAGTAATGCAAATGTATAATAGAAACGTGGTAACTCTATCAAACTCACTTCAAGTGAAAGCTTGAGGTGAATGTTCCATGAATATTCAGACAATAGCAACCTGTTTGAAATTGCTATTTGGTATAATCCCCAAATTTCCACATTTTATCATCTCCTAGGCATAAAGCCAAAGGCTAAAAGAACAGAACATGAAAGCCGAACCTGAATTATGTTCTAAACCCTGTTGAGTTTAATTTTACTTACAAAGCAGAGTGTTAGTTTGCCACTTAAATTTGCTCCTGATAGTCCTGTAAAAATACCTCTTTCTTATCAGTCTCTAAATTGTGATATTCATTTGGAAAGCTCTAGTTTTAGGAGCATCATTCTAAATTATGAGGCAAGAGTGCCCAATAAATATACATAATCTAAAACGGATTATAGCAAGAGAAGAAAGCAATTTTCTATAAATTTGACTGCAGTGTAGGGTTTGCAGTTCCGTGAGACTTGTAACTTTAGAAGGCACAAAGGGAAATTTTTAGCGGCATGGGATGGGATGTACAGAAATGATGAAAACTTTAAAAAGTCGGTGTTTTACAATAAGGCGATATAGATACACATTCTTGATATAAATGTGAAGAAAAGACCCAAAGCCTTCTGAACGGAAACAAACACACAAAAAATGAACACAGTGCCACTCACCCAGATACACACTTCTTTTAAAACAATGCTTTACTTGAACCCATGATGGATGTACTCCCCAAATTCATAAACATTTGGTGCCACATATAACTAAAACAAAGAGATGACGAGCTCACTCTATGCTTTATGTTTACTGTTCAAGATTTCAGAATATCGATGGATTCTAAAAATTAAAATGGTAAAACTCCAGATGGAGAAAAAGACCAGTTAACTTAAAACATAATTTCTTGTGAAAGATTATAAAGTGTATTTGTAGAGACCACACAAGGGTTTCTGAGCATGCAATACCCACACCACTCAAAATGTGATCGGATAAGATCATAAACGGACAGGCATTAGGTGGAATTCTGGTAATGCTCTAGTTTTTGCATTGAATGATAGTTACACGGTGTGTTCACTTTGTCATTTTTTGTTGGGTTGTGCACTTACGGTTGGTGAAAATGTAGGAATATTGTAATTTAAAACAAACTAAAAGAAGAGGAAAAAAAGACAGAGGGGAAGGAGGGAGGGAGGAAAGGAGAAAGGGAAGGGGGGAAGGAAGGGAAGGGAAAAAGAAAGGGAAGGGAAAGGAAAGAAAGAAAGGTGGAAAGGCAGGAAGGAAGGCAGGAAATGCATGCTGAGATCTGCATTTTCCACACTGGAGAATACCATGCTGAAGGAAATGGATGCTCTAGTCATTCACTTAATTAAAGTAAGATGCAACGTCACTGGGTTGCAGAATTTGGTGTCTTGGCTCCTAGTTGGAAACCACTGTTATTTCTACACAGAGAGGTTGTGTGTTGACGTTTTCAGACTTCCAAAAAATCCCTGTCACTTAACAATTGCAAATGTCACCATCTTACGCATGCAGGTGTTTTCTGTTTTGGGACGCAGCATTTAGAAGCAGTGGGGGAAAAAAAAAAACACCTGGGACTTCCACTAACTTTGCATTTGAAAAACACATATACACATAAACACATTTTATCTCTGTATCTAAGCGTCTTAGGAGCTCAACTGTTTTCGACTCCGCATTAAGTTGGTTAAACGCTTAGTGAGCACTTGTTACTGAAGGAGTTTGGGACCCTACAGTCGAATCCGTAGATTTTGTCTGTTACTAAGGAGTGGGTTTTCCACGTGATTTTTTCAAAGGCAAAAGGTTAGGCAAAAATGACATATCGTTAAATTGAAAGTAAAAAGCACAGTTCTGATGTGCTCAAAGTCCATGCATTTAAACTCCTTTGTATGATAATTTATGGTGATCACATCTTCAGACTGCACTATTGGCATACTCACCCCTAACAAGAAGCTCTGCCTCATCTGACACACTGTCTGCTGTGGTCTGTACCCTGCAGCCATATCTCCCAGCATGCATCAGAAGGATGTTCCTGATCATTAAATCAGCAGAGGATGCTTGCTGAAAGAGGGATGAAGTGCCAGTTTAAAATGTTGCACAGCTGCCTAGTTCAAGGTGGTTTGGGGTGGGGGGGAGGCTTCGCATATTCAATCAAAGGGCCTTACAATTTATTGGACAGCAATTCAGAAAACAAACATGCCCCCTTTTAAGGAACACATGAAGTTATGTTGTTTAACAATGGCTAATAAAGGGTTTGAACATGGAATAGCACATATCATGATTTAGCAGCTATGATCGTTAAGAAATATTTAAGTATGCACAAACAAACTCATATCCTGAAAAGTCTAGGAGAAATCATCAGCGAGCAAAACCAGTGCTTTGCTCTTCGGAGACAGGCCCCTTTTTTTGTGGCAAGAAAATTGTACTGAAAGGGATAGCGACTTGTGGGAAATTAATTCTGAGGAGATCGTAGTCAAAATGACCTCACAGGACTTTATTGAATGGTTCTTTTTGTAAGTACACTACTATAGGCAACAGAATCAGACAGTGCTTAGGTGGAAGATCACTGGTCCCCAAGTTGTGTCTTTACTTAATCAAGATACATTCCTCCCATAACCACCACCATCAGGGATAGGGGGCAGCCTGGATCTTTGTTAATCAACACAGTTACAAAACACAGAGGAACTTCAAAACACCTTATTGCTTGTTGGGCATAGGATTATTAAAACATGGTTGAAGAATAACTGCAGTTAAGTAGATCAGTCCGTGCCCAGGAGAACATCTTTTAGACATATTAGTTTATGGGATCAGTGACAATCCCTCCCTTTAAAATGACTGGTACAAACCTTTCATTCCTTCATGGTGTTTTTCATTTACTTTACCAGGAAAGATAGTGTTCTCTTACTGTGATCGTATAAAGATCTAGTATTTACAATAACTCACTAAATTGTTTTATTTTTTTTTCAGGTAATGACACAGCACAACTTCAATGTGCTCTCTTCCCTTTCATGTTGCAATCAAAGAACAATTGACTGGAATGAGAAGATGTATGCTGCTTGAAATGGCATCTTCAAAGAACTTAAAATCTTCCTCCAACAATAACGGAGCACATGAAATAATATGTAGTGAAAGTCATGGAGAAGCACCTTAGATGAGAGACCTTTATTTATTTATTTATTTATTTATTTATTTTAGTTTTTTTTTTTTGAGTTGGAGTCTCACTCTGTCGCCCAGACTGGAGTGCAGTGGCTGCTGCCGGCCACCGCAGCCTCGACCTGCTGGGCTCCAGCGACCCTTCCACCTCAGCCTTCCGAGTAGCTGGAATGACAGGCGCATGCTACCACGCCCAGCTTATTTTTTTGATTTATTGTAGAGATGAGGTCTCGCCAAGTTGCCCAGGTGGGTCTCGAACCCGTGGGTTCAGGCAATCCACTCACCTCAGCCTCCTAAAGGCGCAGAATTATAGGCTGAGCCACCAAGCCCGGCTGAGAGACCTTTAAATAAATGATGTATTTGTTCTCAGTAGGCAAGTCCTGGTGATTATTTAAAAATGAAGCTGTTTGCCTTTATTTTGAAATAGATCACTGAGATTTATAAAAATCATGAAAACAAGACTGATTTCTAGAAGTTTTTAGGATTCTTTCTTTCTTAGTATTCGTAGAAAGGATGTGAAGTCACTGTGAACTTTTAATCACTCAAATGATATATGTTTCTTTTAGTAAATTATCTTACCCCATTCCATGCTTCAGATCATTCCTTTCTGGTATTTCATCCCTGTTTTGTTTTGCTTTTTGCTTTCCTGTTTGTCTTATGATTGGAACTTCTAAGGATATTGAAGTTTTCTCTCATGAAATAATTGTTCAGACATGGTCTGTTTTAGTCATTTACAAGGAAATGCTTCATGGTGAGAATGCATTAAAATGTCATAACAATTATTTCAAGGAATGTGATATTTGTCCAGTGAATGCCCTACATTGCTAATTTCTTTAGGATAAATTTTTACTCTTAAATTCGAACTAATTTTTTTTTCTCATCTCTGCTAGACTAAGTGATTTTTTAATGGGAAATAAGCAAGCCGTAAATATTATAAACAATGATTCAGTTTCAAAACAATATAACATAATACGATGAGAATGAGTTTCTCTGTATTTGTCACTATATGTAGTGTGGGTCTACTTAAACTTTCTTCTCCCTGGATTTCTGAGAAACTCTTTTAATGGGGCACCCCATTAAATTAATCAGAAATCAATGTGCACATCACAGACCCAGAATAGGATCGGGGTCTGAAAGTAAAGTTAAGACCAGGACCCAGAAAATCAGGGGGGATTTGACGTTTTTTCTAGAAGTAACACTGTCTGAAAAACAGTGTCTTTTTTTGTTGCTGTTGTTTTGTTGAATTTTTTATTTGCTTGTTTGTTTTTAATACCACAAACATATTGGGGGCAGTATAACAGTGGAAAAGTACTGATTCTCTAGTGGTTTATCGGCTCACATTTTTGAAAAATTATTCTGTAAAATCTCATTTTTGTAATTAGTAACTGATTGTCTCATCTTCTAGACATTTTTCCTCCCAAATAATGTATTTCTTTTGTCCTGGACAACAGTCCCCAAAACTTTTTCTTCCCACGGAGTTACAGTGAAAGAAAAGCTCAATGGGATAAAGAAGAGGCTTCATTAAAATCACATAAAAGACTGAGGAGTTCAGGAGGGTGAGGGATAGATTATCCTTCCAGTGTTGTCCTTTGCTTGGTTCCTGCAATTAGCAGTGTGCAATGCTCTCTCTCTAAGTGTCAAAACCTCCACCACCATCTATCAGGACCAAAAAGTCTACAGCCTGTTCATAGCCGTCAATGCCAAGACCATTCAAGGCATTGGAATCGTCTCATCTGGGCTCATCTCATCTCCTTTGGATGATCTCTGCACCCTATTCTAAACATCCTAAACAGAAAAGACCAAAAGTAAAATGAGTGGCTTGTGAACACCAAAACGAAATCACCCTTTCAGTGGATTTACCGATCTTTCAAGAGAAGTAATGAGAAGACTCCACGGGTGAGCCCATGACCCTAAATTTCAGCCCACAGCGTCTCCACCACAGAGCCCACTTTGGATGAAATGGTGACTCACTGCAGAGGCTTTCTTTCTTTCTTTTTTTTTCAATATATATTTTTTATTTCAAAATTGTGGGGTACAGTTGAGGGTTAGGTATACAAATATGCATTGTGCAGGTACTCTTGCTGATGAGGTGTCCCCCTTGCCCCAGACAGACATTGGCTACCGTTAATCCCACCTCCCTTCCCCTCCCTGCCCCCCCCATAGTTTCCCGCCACTGTCAATTATTTTCTTATTAGTATTACGGTAGTTGTTCAAGGTCCACTATATGAGTGAGAACATGTGATGCTCAGATCTTTGTTTCTGTGAGAGATCACTCAGTATTATAAACTCTAATTCCATCCAGGTTGCTGCGAAGTTCATGATTTTGTTCTTCTTTATGGCTGCGTAATATTCCATTGTATATAATTGCCACCTATTTTTAATCCAGTCCTCTTTTGAGGGGCAGCATGGTTGGGTCCATGATCTTGCTATTGTGAACAATGCTGCAATAAACATACGTGTGCAGGCATCTTTTTATAGAGTGCTTTGAGTTCTTCAGGGTATATTCCCAGTAAACTTAAACCTCACTTTCACTCTCTGTCTCTTAGGAGCTCCTCTCTCTTTTCTTCGACAGGTTTTATTTCCTGCCTTTTGTTTTCTCCTGCTTTCTTGGGCTGTAAGGACAAATTGGTGTTACCTGTTGCTTCAAACAAACCTCCCCACAGCCAGTGCTTAAGGCAACACTCCGAGGCCTCGCAAAGGATCTGCTACAGCTCAACACATATTTGCTGGGTAAACGAATCCATGAAGGTTTTTCAAGATAGAGGCGATATGTCCACTCTCCGTGACAGCAACCGCACGGCTGTGTGATTGCTGTTTCTCATGGCAATTACCAGTTTATTGTGACTTTTATTTATGACTTGGAAATAAAACAGGGAAATGTCTTCTTTCCACCCAAGTCCAGTTCTCCACCCGCTTTCGCTGTGACCTAGTGTCCTGCTTATCCAACATAAGACTGCCCGTTTTTGTTCTAAGCAATGGAGACTCGTTCAACATCGCTGCTCACAGCCGGTACTGGGTCTTGCTGCCTTTAGATCAAGTCCAGTCTTTTTTCTTGACTCAGAGGGCTCTTTAGAGCCTGATTGTACCTCTCCAACTGAATCCTGTGGTTCACATTTGTGCATTCCTAGGAATTCTTCCCATGACACTGCCCATCAGTGCAGTGTTTTATTCTGGTGCAGATGCTTTTGCCTGGGAAGATACTTTGAGACACAGCTCAGACACCACCTCCTTGGTGGAGTCTTTCTGGACTCAGTCTCCGCAAGCTTCCCCAGCTCCAATCACTTTGCTCAGGTCTCTGTATTAGCACCTGGCATTCATAGAAACCTCTCCCAATTCCACTGTGGGCACTCCCAGAGCCCACCTAGGCCCTAGCACGGCTGACATCACTAAATGAGCTAATAAACGCATGAATGGATTCCTTCCTTTTTTCTTTGTGGCTGACAAGAACACTCTCTCCCCAACTTTTTCCTCTCAAAAAAATTAGAAAGAAAAATAGGAAAAAGACCATGGAGAAAGACAGAGGAAAAAAGCACTTACAGAGTATATGCATGTTCTGGAGTGATACAGAATTCCGTGGATCCTACCACTTATTAGATATTCAACTTGGGAAAACGACTTTATTGCTCAGGGCTTCTTCGGCACTCTGGTACGATAATTCGAGCAAAGCCCACAGCAGTGTGTCTGGCACACAGTAAGTGTCCGATAAATGCGATCTGTCGAAGGGCAGTATAATTGCACTCTTAGCTCAGAGGAATGTTTATTTAATTGGTATTCATTCCCTTGCTAAACTGGATATCAATGTTTTCCATAGCCATAGTAAGCTTTTTGATAAGTACCCTGCTGAATCTTGGATATACGTCTTCTTCACCCCCTTTCTCTCTTATACTGTGGTAGAAAACCACTGGCCT